CCCACCACCCCACCACTGAGCTGCATGTGCACACTCCCAGGTGCTCGCCAGCTACCGGTCCAGGTGCCAGCTAGAGCATGTGAGAGCATGTCCATTACGAGCATGTGCTAGCTGCTCTGTTGTTAAAACTTTGCATCCGGAAAAGGGTCCCCCGTTTGTCAAAGGAGCGGCATCGGTAGGGGGAAAGCTTGGGCCAAATGAATCAAGCACCATGCCTGTGGTGGGCTGCCTTTTAAGCAGCGGGAAGAAGTCCCCGCAAGCAGTTCCTCCATTCTGACATCAGAGTATTCTTTCTCTGTCTTTGCCTCTGTTTTCTAATTGCCTTTGTTATTTCTGAAATAACTCTTCTGGCATAGTCTGGGTTTAGAGGAGGCCAAGTTTTCAGATGTTCTCATTCTGGCTACAGCTACTGAAAGTAAGGATTTTGGACCATTCTAGATCTAGGTCAAGTATATAAACACTGAAGGCATTTACCCAGAGTAACATTTCTGCATGGTTGATAGATGGTTATTATCCAATTAGTTTCCATTGCTGCCCACTGCATTTGCAAGCGGTGTGGATCCTTCCCATATAGACTGTGGCATGAACTTTAATAAGTGGGCCCAAGTGAAACCCAAGGGCCTCCAGTGTCCATCTCAGCTCCTCTCTGTCCTGAGCACCCCTCGCCTTGTAGAAGTGGGCCTCTTCTGCATAATCAGAGGCTGGGGCAGGAGGCTGCTCAGGGGCCAGGTGCATGTGAGACTGCAGCGGAGGGATGATTAGTTGCAGATCCCTCCCTTCCATGGATAAAAACTTTGCCAAATTGGGATTTAGAACCATCTGGATGTGGTTGCACTTCCCTCTGCTCGACAGAGCTGGCTGGGCGGCTGGAAGGTGCCACTTGACTTGGGCCCTCCAGAAGGCAGGAGTGTAAATGAGAGGAGGGCATTTCACCCACTTTCCTTGCAGTGAGACTTGGGGATGGGTTAAGGGTCGCCTTGGAAGAGTCATTGAACAGCTTAAGAGAGACGCAGCCAGAGGTCCATCCCTGGGACCAGCCGTGCTGAACGCATCTTACCTCTGCGGTTTCTGGTTCTGCATTTTGAAAGCCGAACTCCTCAAAAGGGCCACTGCCTGCACAGATGAGCCTCCTCACCGGTGGCCCTGCTCACACCAGGAAGGCTTGCTGGCTGGCTGCCCGCAGCACTTTCTCTCTCCCCTGAACTCCTATTGTTTATCAAACAAACTAACTACTGTGTTTTCCAACCTCTTTCTGTTGTTTACGACTGCTGCTGGTAGTGGTTTCCTTAATGTTTATGTTGACTACTTTGTTTTAGACTGTAAATGTCCTTATAGACTTCCGGAGATGGAACTCAACTGACTGAAATAATGAATATTAAAGCTGGTCGTCTTTATAAGGCTCCCCTGGGCTGCTCTTATGGTTGTGGCCGTTCAGATGATGATGATGTTGCTGCTGCTGCTGTGCCCTTGGGAGCCACAGGGAGACAGTGCTGAGCACCCCTCAGTGGAAACTGCCAGCGTGCGCAGGGAGTGGTCTCCTCTGGAGGAGGAGCAGTCGAGCAAAGAGTTCCCTGGCACTAGCGCTGCTGGTTTGGCCTTCCACGGTCTTAAACCCATTTGGCGTAAATATTTGTGGCTTAGTGGGGTTGGGGAGACTGTGGCAGCAGGTAAAAAAAGTGCAGGAGGGACCAACGTTTGCTGGTCCTGGGATGCCTCTTTTAAAACGTCCTGATGCTTCCAAATCTACAGTGGAACTAAGGAAGCTGCTTCTATTGAAAGCTTTCCCAAAGTCCCAGGACAGGCCAGTCTGCTCTGGCCCCAGCCTGTGTGGAGCTTATCCCTCAGGCGGCAGAATGGGGCAAACCCCCATTGCTCATTTGAGAAACACAAAGGATGTGTCAGTGGAAAACTGCTGACTTTCCTGAAACGAGTGGGTGGCTCTGTCTCCGGCCGCTGGCTGGCTCGTAAGCGGATCTCTCTGGAGAACAATACTGGGGGGCTCAGCTGCAAGCCTTCTCATTAAACCTGCGAAGCTCTCCTAGCCTTGAAGAATGCAGAAGAGGGGGGCATTGGCAGGGGGCAGCCTGGTGTGCGGAAGGGTGCCCGTGCCCAGTTAGGCGTGGCAGGCTGGCTGCTTCCCCCAGTCATGAGGAAGGGCTGTCTTGGCAGGAAGCCTCGAGGGAAGAGGCAGCCGGCCGTGGGGTGGGGCGCAGGGAGAGACTGGAAAGTATTTGAGAAAAGTCCTGACTTGGAGCATGGAATGAAGCGAACCACTTCTGGAAAATCTGCTCGGCAGCTAAACAAGGCGGCAGTGGGGGAAGCAATGCCTTTTGCACGGAGAAGGTGAACCGCCGGAATGGCCCCGGGCTGCAGAGCAACACTGTGCACTCAGAGAACATCCTTTGCTTTGTCACTTCACGTCCACCTCGGATTTTGGAACATGGCTCCTTCCTTGGTCTCTCTGGGCCCCTGACAGCCCCCCCCACCCTGCTATGGCTCTAAGTGCCACGTGCGCCCTTGTTCGTGGGAGAAGAGGTGCCAGGTTTGGGGCTGTTGATGGGCCCTCATATTATCTACTGCAACCTTCAGAAATGAGCAAGCAAGGAATAGCAGCAGTAACCATTTGAGAAGAGGAATAAAAAGCAGGCTGCGAGAGAACTTTAAGGGCCCACGACACGCTCCTGCTATGGTAAAGCTGGGCTGCTCCTGATGTCAGCCAACCCAAACGATGTTTGGAATGCACTCCAGAGAATTAGAGTAGAACCAAAGAGGATGGCATTACCTTCCTTGGGCGGGTTGGGCGTAATAGTGGCAGCACCAGCTCTGCTTAAAAAGAAGTGTGTTGTGTTCTCAAGGAGACGGAATCCTTGAACAGCTGCTGCCAGAGATTCACGTGTGACTTTTGTCTGTTTTTCCCCCCTTGCGACAGGCCTGAGAGGCCGGGGTGGTGGTGGTGGTGGTGCTGCCAGGGGTGAGAAGGAGGTTTTCCTGCTAAGCGTTTGGCTTTTCCGACAAGGGGACCAAGTTAGCAGTGGCCCAGATCCCGCTTTGCTCTGTGGGGGGAACCTTCCCCCCCACACATGCAGAGGCAATGGCTGACCCCCTGATCCCCAGAGGGAAAGTCTCTTCTTCCTCTTCAAGCTAAGTGGAATATTTTAGGAAGAACTTGAGCGGAGACACGTGCTTGTCCCAGATGATTCAATGGGCAGGGTGGCCATCTCTGCTGCAGATGCCACATCTCCCACGCACCCGACCCACCCCACCCCCCCCCCCCCCGGGAGCAGGAGGCAGGGGGTCTTCACTGCCATTCTTATAACACAGTTTCTGACCCATGCTCCCCACCCCACTGTCTCCTTTGGGATGAGCAGCACAACCCTGCATTTACGCAGCACAGCGGCCGGTAAACAGGAAATGTCTCCAAGGTATTTTGCATGGTTTCGGGACCCTAAAAATACCCAGTGATAAGAGCTATTGTTTCTCTCACAATGGCTTCCGGCAGTCCAAAATGATGTTTTCCTCAGGCCGGGAGGCTGGCCAGCTCCTCCACGACTCCAGGACGTGGCCTCCCTCCTTTATCCTCCTTACCTGATGGCCCTGTGACGACACCAATGCTGCTGCTGCTGCTGCTCTCAGAAGGGCACAAAGGTCTCCGGGAAATGCTAAGGAGGAGGAGGAGGAGACCTCGGAGGGAGGAGTGGATTTGCAGAGCTACTATAACCCTCAGGAGGTTCCTGCCAGAGGGTGGGAAGGAAAGAAACCCCCCCCTTAGAGGATCCACCCTCCATTCCCTCCCGAGCGCTGGCTGCCCACCACACAGACCTGGACTTGGGAGGCTTTTCCTTTTACTGGCAGAATCACGTCCATGCTGATTTTTGGACCTACTGAAACACCCCACCCCCGCCCCACCCGAGTGGTCTACCTAACGGAAACCAAACCCCACCTATCAAATGATGAATGGGCCTCAAAAGGAATAAAGACAAAAACCTTTATTTATAGAAGCATTCAAGGCCCAAAGGAATGCTTTCACTGGGGTCTGGCCGACCTCCTTCGCACGACCAGGCTGCTGCCGGAGAGGCGGCGGTGGCAGCTCTCAAGTCTGCCACTAGACAAGCCGGTTCGGCCCGGGGGGGGGGGTTTGTGTGCCCGAGGGGCACCTGTGGAGGATCACTGCCTACTGGCAGGTCCTCAGGGCAGCGGACAACCTTCATCCAGGGTGCCTCGAACCGAGGACAGCACAGCACTCTGTAGTCCCGAAGGGAAGGTGGTTAAGGTATTTGGCCAATCCCGTGTCATCCTCGAGAAGTCAACAAGGCTGCAATTTTGCACACAGTTCACCCCCTGAAGCCCATCTTTTAAGTCTATGCAGGATATGGTGCCAGAATGCACACATTTCTGAAACATGCTCAAGGAGGGGTTACTCCCTCGCTTCTCGTTGCTGGACAGACAGGCCACAGTTCCTCCCTCCCCATCAGACTTGGAAACAGACTTTCTCCTTGTCTGAGGGAGCCAAGATGGCTTCAGAAACAAGCAAGAACAAAGCCTACCGGAGTTACGAAAGGGGTGGGTTTGCAAAGACACATTTCAATTGAATGTTGTCATCTTTGGTAGCTATGAAACAGCACCAGCCTTTGACTGGAAAAGGTGACAGACAGACAGACTGGAGATACAGTCCTTGGAAAGGAACGGAGGGTAAGCACCCAGCTTTTAAGCTCCATGTTGATCTATTAGAGTGAGTGAGTTGAGGACACCTCTCCCTTTGGTTAGCATGAGCATGAGAGAAAATATAATTCCCACCATGAACTCTGGGCAACAGGATTACAAGCTCCGCGTCATAGCAAAAGCAAAGGCAGCCAATGGGAAGCAGGTCTGA